CCCATATTCCCTCATACCATGTCCGCTGGACCTCCCAGGCCCAGTGGCTTGGAGCCTCCTTGGTTCCCTACCTTCCAGAGGAACCAGAGACCATAATTCTCTGTGTGGCCTCAGAGACCCCTCCACAGCCCCTTCCCACCCCTCCCACTGACCCATGGACCGGAAATCTGTATCTTGCAATGGGAAGGGGCTTGCAGGTAGGGGACAGCTCTGCACTGTCCCTTTGGTTGATTCAGGCCTCTCAGAAGGAGACATCCTCTCAGCCAGGTACCTGACCAGGTGCATGAGAAGGCTCCTGCTGTGCAGCTGCCACAGGGACAGGACAGATCAAAGCAGGAGCAGACCAACATCTGTGGCAGCCATGGCAAGGAAGGGGTACAAACTGAATGAATAAGTAAGCAGATGAATGATTGCTGGGTGAGAGGGATGAATGATTAATGAATAAATGAATGATTGATGAATAAACGAACGTACAGCCTGCAGCCAGCTCCTCCTCTCTGCTTTTTGGTATATTTTATCTTGGGAACCAAGAAATCAAGATCCTCCCATGACCCTCACCTCCGGAATTTCCCTCTGTACCTCTGTAGTTGGGATCACCCCCATCTGACCCTGGAGGTGGAGGAAGCTTTGGCTTAGAAGCAAGGGTTTGCATTGCACAGGGTTTGCTGGAGAAGGGAGCAACAAAAGGGTCCTGGGGCAGCATGTAGGTTCTGAGGGAGGAGAGCTCCCAGGATCTGGGAGAAGAAAAGGGTATGAGGGGAAGAGAAGAAGAGGAAAGATTTGGTTTTTACTTTCTTTTCTTTCTTTTTTTTTTTTGCCGGGGCGGGGGGGTGGGGGAGAATATTGTGAGTTGGACCTGGGAGTTCTTTACAACTGAGCTACATCCCCAGTCCTTTCTGTTTTTTGTTTTGAGACAGGATCTTGCTAAGTTGCTGAGGCTGGCCTTGAGCTTGTGATCCTCCTGCCTTAGTCACCTGGGATTGTAGGGGTACATCACAGCACCCAGACTACATTTTACTTTCTTAGTCCTGCACTGGTCATTCAGCAGATGCTAGGCCTCCAGGCCTGATAGGATAGACAGTCCACCACAAGTCAGCATTTGAATGTGTTATCCCCAAAAGCAGGACGATTTTATTGACAGTGATTGCAAGAAACTTCTTTGATGGGGTGGGTTGAGGATGACTCCAGCTCAAGGCCAGGCAACCCCTCCTTTGTATTATCACCATGCTGATACTGGATGTGTCCTAATTCTCAGCAGCGTGTCTTTCAGTGTGGCCAGATTCTGATGCCTCTCAGGGGAGAAGCACCCTACTAGGTGAGGGTTTGAGGAAGCAGTATCTGGAGGCCCTGAGGTTCGTTCAGAGCTGTGCTCAATTTTGGAGGAGAATATTGCATTGGGATTCCCATGGAATCTAGGCTGTGGGTTTGAAGTCAAAAGACCATTCAGAAGAGTATGTATGCACATTCTACTTGAACAGACAATTGTTATCAAAATGGCTTCTACTTATGGAGAGTTTACTAAGGGCTAGATGTTGGGCTAAGAGTTGTGTATGCTTTATGTCATTTCCTTCTCTCATCAGCCCTAGGATGTAGGTATTTTAACCCTCATTTTATAGATAAAACAGAGGCACAGAAGGTTATGTAACTTGCTGGTGAGTGGTGGAACCAGAATTGAACCCAGGTGGATTGTGGTCACTTGGAGTTGGAATCTAAAGGAGCTTCTCCTGGAAGCCTCTTCTAACAACTTCCCTGATCTTTTTCCCTTATAACATGGTGGTTCTTAACCCTTTGGTGGGGGAGCTGTAGACCCCTTTGAGCCAGTGATAAATGAGCAGAGCCTTTTCCTAGAAAATGCACATTTTGTACCAGTGCGTTCCCTAGGCAGTCTCAGGGGTCCATAGGCCCTCCTGTGTTCTGTTTGAGGCATTCACTTTCTGCAGTAACCGTTTTCCTTTCTCATCACCCAAGGGCACAGGGCAACCCCCAGGGCCTCAGACATCACCCTGATGGGGAATGGAATCAGACAGGGCAGGTTAATCAATGAAAGCAAGGCCTGCTCCTTCCATAATTGCATTCCTGCCTTTTCATCCTAACAGCCAGCACTTAGGATAATTGCATTCCAATAAGGCTCCCAGGTCTGGGGCCTCTGGGGCCAGCCCTGGAACCTGTTGACATGCCATCTGCTTCCAGAGGGGTTCTGGAGACCAAGACGGGCTTTTAAAATTCTTCTTTGTTGTCTTTGCTACAAGAGAGACAAAGGACCCTGTCACAGATCTTGTCCAAAATCCTACTACCTTCACCACCCACATCAGCCCTGGAGCCAAGCCTCAGTCCTGGGCTGTCTATCTGAAGTCACAACAGCAGCACCTGTTATTCCAAGTGGCTGACCTCTGGAAATAGTTGGCTTTGGAGCAGGGTAGCTGCTATAGGGCTTGGCAGGGCAGAACCAGCTCAGGGGCAAAGACTGAAAGGCTTGGGAACGGTCTGGGATGGGTATTGTGCTGTCTCCAAACACCATCAGCTTCATTCATTTATCCATAAGATTTATTGGAACCTCCCCCAAAGGGCTCCCACTCTCTGCAAAGAAAACCCACCATGCAAGGAAGTAGGGAATCCCCCACAAGAAACAGGGGTTTTCATGAATCCAGAGAGTCATATTTCCAGAAATATAACTTCCTCTCAAGAAAGCTCATGCGTTCTCCAGGCACAGTGAAGTCTGCACAATTAACAGAAAAAGTGCAGGGTTCACGGTGATTTGAGTTTCACTGTTTCCCAAATAGAGATGGTTCCTCTGCTCACCCCCACCCAAGGAATGAGGTATAAAATGGAGAGGTCTGGTGTTTGTTATATGACTTGCAGATGCCCCCTCCCCCACCACAACCCTGGACGCTTCTCTTCTCTAAGGAAAAGTTTCCTCCGGGACTCTTTGACCTCTTGGGATTGAGCCCCAAGGGTCCCTCTGCAAACCTGTCTCCCTGAATCCCCAGGGCTGAGGGTTGGTTCACTCATCCCTGTTGAAGTCCTTGCCTGGAGGAAATGGATTGTTTCAGAATGGGATCTTTCTGGCTGCAAGAGGGAGAAGGGATGGAGATCATCCTGCAAAGCATGAAGAATATGGTTGGGTGGTTAATCCCCCCTCCAAGAAGATGATCCCTGCGGGTGATCTGTGGTTTAGCAGAAAGAGTATCGATTTTCAGGAAGGCAGCCGGGCGTTTGAATCCTGGCTCTGTCAATCACGGTTGCTGTTGGCCAAGTCATTTCACTTCCCTGAATCTCAGTTTTCTCCAGTGGGGCAGTGGGGGTTGGGGGTCGGGATAAGATGTACTTTACAAGATTAAAACTGAAGAGAGAACGTGAGTGGCATTTGATGAGTGGTTTCTGTCCTTTTCCTGCAGGAAGACACTGATTTCTAGAGCACTTGGCAGACATCAGAAGGTACTTTTGGTTGTTCTTTGTCAGTGCTCTCCAGTCCTGCACCCCCACCCCATCCATTCGTTCGTCCTTTTCCTGACCTCTCCTTCTTCCTACAGCAGATAGCCTAAGCTCCACAGCTTCCCGCTTTCCCCAGCAGAGTTTGCTCTCACTAACAGGTTTGGTGTCCCTCCTAGTGTTCCTAGCAGTGGACAGCGCAGCCTAAGACTTGAGAACACCCAAGGACAGGTCAATTTGTCATCCCTGCCTCCTTTGGTTTAATACCAGAATCCTTCATCCAAGCAACCCTGCTAGTGCCATGGATGCTGAGATCACAGAATTTTTTTTCTGGACTGGACTGCAAATGGGCATCAGCTTCCTGGGGGTGGTCTGGAGCCAGTGGGGCTGTGTGATGTGCATACCCTACTACCCAAGGAAGGTGTGCTCACTCCCTCACTTTGCTCCCACCACCATTGTCAAGCTCACCCCTGCCATCTCACCTCCATCATTGCCAACTGGCACCTCCAGTTAGGACTTTCTGAGCCTTAGGGAGCTAACAGCCTAAGATACAGCAACCAGGCACTCAAAGAGCACTCCCAAACTCACCATTTCTTGGTATGTTCTGCATGATTAGAGGTTAGGTATTTTAAATGGAATCTTGAAGTTGGCAGGTGGTGGGTGGTTGGGTGGAGGAAGAGGGTACAAGAGGAGGGAGAGGAGAAGGAAGGGGTCAGAACAGGCGATAGGAGATTAGGGATTTAATTAAACTGCCTGTTTGGGTAAGGGCTTTAAGGTGCAAAGCCGATTTGCTTGATAATGGCAGTTTATCTGAATTCCATTCTAAAGAAGGAAGCTTTCTTTTACACTTAATTACTGTGGCTAGTAAGCCTGGTTTCTCCTTAATGCCCTCCCACCCCAGGCTATGCAAGGCTGCTTGCCTCTCAGCTTCAACCACGCTGATTATCTCTGGGGATGGACCCCTAGTCATCTGTCCTTGAAGGAGGTCTGATCGTGCCACAGGCAATACCCAGGTAGCCCCAGCCAGAGCAGCAGAGAATGGCCCTATACTTAGGCTACTGATACTGGGCCTGGGTCTTCCATTTCCGAACCCACAAACACCAAACAGGACCAACATTCACCTAGTTGGTTCCTGCTGCTAAGCAGCAGCCCTGGAGGAGCACTGGTGTGGTGATTAAGGAAGCTTGGGAGGGTCGGACCAGAGGGGACACTCCCTGGATGACTTGTAGCGTGGTGGTAGCGACTGTTTTTTTTTTTTTTTTTTTCAGAAGAACATCACTCAGTGACGCATCAGGACAAACAGAGGTTAATGGAAAGGTTGGTGTTGGGGAGACAGAGCCCCGACAGAGGGGAAGCTTCATGGAGATGGGCCTCAGCATTTGGAGACTCCAGCTTATAATGGCAGGGCAGGGAAGGGTTAAAGGGTTTGGGAACTCCTGTTTCCAATCACTTGTCAGCTAGCTTTGCTCTCAGCCTTATCAGCAGGGATAGGGCCTTGCAGGGAGAGGCTGAGAGCTTTGGTTTCCAAGCTCTTCCCAGACTTGAAACTCTCAGCCTTCTCATTACCTTCTAAGGGCTCCCCAGCTCAGTCTGGGGGGAGGGTCAGGGTAGGGGCTGGGAACCCAAACACATTTAATGGAGTGGACTGCAAGTTACTAAATTGAGCCCTGGGGTGGTGGTGGAGCTGTAGAATCTCAGCAGGAAACCTTCAGTCAAACTGCCCCTCCTCCTCTCCCAGACTCAACAGAAAGCCAGGTTAGTGCAAACCTTGGCTTTGCTGTTATTTAACTCACCGTTGACTAACACCCTTCAATGACTTTCTCTTTATAATTATTGTTAGAATCAGAGATTTCCATGATGTATTTGTGCAGTTTCTTTGGGAACTCAAGTAAAGGGCCTTGCATTTTGGATGAAATTCATTCACCTTGGTAGCTCTGACCCATGCTAGCCCTTTGAGAGGCGGGAGATTCTCAGTTCTGCTGGCTCCTGTGATTACTAAGCTACCCAGTTTCAGTCATCAGGGAATTTGATAAACCTGTTTTCTGTATCTCCATTCAAGTTACTGGTTTAAAAGATGTTGTCTAGAAGAGGGGTGAGGGCAGAGCCATTGGTCATGCTGATACAGATTATGTTCTAGAACTTAACAACCTGTGGTTAGTTTGGGTGTAGTTACTATACCAACTGCTGAGCCCCCATTTTGTACTTCTCTAATTTGCAATCCACCAATGCATCCAGAAGGCTATCTGGAGGAAAGGCAGGCAAGTTTCTGAAATTCAACACACTTGCTTCCCTGAATCTTCCTGATTTGGCATTCTAGCAATTCTGCTAAAGAAGGAAGTCAGAGTCTCACATGAGTGAGATTCTGCAGTAGACAAGAGATAAGTTATGGAAGTCAATGTAAATATCATCACTTATAATTTTGCCAGGAAGAAGAGAGGTATGTGTCAGACTTGCCAGGGAGCTGGGTCTGTAAAAGAGAACTGTCCTCACTAGATGAGTAGTGAGGACCTACAGAGTATTTGAGTGCATCAAGAGAGAGAACTGGGGCCCTAGTTTGTGGAAGAGGTAGGTGGCTGTCTAGTGATTTGGGCGGTCCTGTTACTACAAGAGTAGATATTGGGCTAGAACTAAGGTTTTCTCTTTGCAAATGAACCACTAGTCCCCAATTCTTCCAGGTCAAGAAATTCCAGACAGTTCTGACGGCCCAGACGGTTTGATGCCTCTGCGCTTCTGCCAATGCTGTTCCCTGTGGAATCCCTCTCCCTGCTGGCCCCCTGGTGAACATCTGTCTCTTCTCCATTTTCACTGCAAGTTTTACATCCTCTAACAATTCATCTCTAATTCCTCTTCACTTCCAGATCCAGACTTTCCAGGTAGAGTTCACTACTTCTCCCACTGTGACCTGTTCCTTGTATAGACAACTACATTTGCACTCGAACCACTTTATTATGTAGAGGTTAAGGACACAGGCTTAGAAGTTTGATAGGCTTAGTTTTTAGCTCTGACTGTGCCTCTCTAAATCCCAGTTTCCTCATCTATAATATTGGGACAATAATAAAAACCCAAATAGGACTGACAAAAGGATTTAACAGGAAAGGGGCATGCAGTCATTATTTATTGCCGCATAGCAAAGTACCCCCAAATGCAGTCGGGGTACCAACAATAAACAGTGTCCCCACAGTTTCTGTGAATCAGAAATTTGAGTGTCTAGCTCCGAGTGGTTTGAGTTGGGTCATTCCCACAGTGGAGCAGTCACGGTGGTAGCTAGGGCTAGAGTCTTCTGGAGGCCTGACTGAGGCTGGAGGCTGTGTTTCCAAGGTGGCCCAGTCATGTGGCTGTAGGCAGCAGCTTTCAGTTCCTCCCCATGGGACGGGACTTGAGTGTCTTTATTACATGGCAGCGGATTCCCATAGAGTAAGTGATCCAAGAGAAAGCAAGGTGGAAGCTGCGATGTCATTTATATCTGAGCCTCGGAAGTCACACACAGTCATTTTCACAAATCCTATTAGTTACACATGTCAGCCCTTGTCAGTGTAGAAGGGACTACACAAGCATAGGAATACCAGGAGGTGAGGATCACTGGGAACCCTCTTAGAGGCTGGCTACCACAAGTTCCTAGGCTAAAGTTTAACAAAAGTGTATTATAAAGGCTCAAGAAGCAGTCTTTGCTATCATTATTAATTCATACATGAGTATTCCTTATTAGAAAATAAACCCCCGTAGGTCAGAAATGATGTCTTGGGGCTGTTTGTATTCTAAGTGCCTGCGGTATATGCGGTATATGCAGGTCCACGCTAAATGTTGAACATAAGAATGGAGCCTTGTTAGTCTGGTGGCAGGCTCAGAGTGAATGGGGAAGGAACTCACACAGAGATGTTAAGTAGGATTCTGCAACTCAGCCATGTTACTGGAAATACCCACTGTATAAAATCAAATCCTGACAGTTTCTCACTTTTTTTTTTCCTTTGGTGGTGCTGGGGATGGAACCCAGGGCCTTGTGCATAGGAGGCAAACACTCTAGCAACCGAACTATATCCCCAGCCCCAGTATTAAGAATGTTGGATACCAAAGCGGCAAGCAGGGCAGGGGTATGTCTTATGATTCTCTTTGGAAAAGAGGCTCCGAGTGGCATTTTGGTAGGGAACAATAGTCCCAACTCTGTGATCAAGAGAGTGACTCCACTGCTCTTTAATTCCCTGGGCCAAGGTAGACATGGAAGCCTCTTGATATTTTTGTTATATTCAAATCCCTGTGTTGATGGCTCTTTTCTAGAAGAATTTCTCCTTCTAGAAGACTCCGATGTGCATTTTCTTAGTGTTCATGCAAAGGTGCACAGAGTTTCATGTCAGAGTTCTGCCCAGCTACTGTGGCCCTCTAAGAAGACTGGGGTGTGAGTCTGCAAGGTAACTGATAGCCTGGGCAATATTGAGTTTCTAGCTGTCTAGCTCAGACTGGAACTTTGCTCCTACCCCTCCGGGCTTGAAAGTTCACCAATTGTCCTTTTCCCTCAGACAGAGCCCTCTGTGCTTATTGGTGCTGTGCTCCTGTGCCCCACTTCCCAACATGTCGTACTCCCTTGAGGCTGCCCCTTCAGGAGCCACACAAAGAGCCTGGAGGGGCAGGTGTCCTCTCAGAGATTTCCCATGTAGATCAATTTCCCACTTGCCAGAGGTCTCATTTCTCCCCGGTTCCTTGAAATCCTAAACAAGTGACTTTAATTGTCTTTTTCCTTCCTTAAAGCTAGAGGGACTGGGGTGAGACAGGGAAAAATCTCCTGTTGGAGTGGAGGGAGCTTTGTTGCACTGAACATTATTTTGCCTCTGGATAATAAAAAGAAGATTGTGGCATGCAAATTATGGATGGGAGCCAGACAATATTTAAATTATATCTAAATCAAACCAGGTCACCAAGAGGGATTCTGAAAGGAAATTAAAAATGCTTATTGATTAAAATAAAAAAATTCCATAATTGAGCCTCTTGCAAACAATATTACATATCGGGGGCCATTGTAATCCAAGGCAACTGAACTCTGGACTGACCTTTTTGAAGGAACTTCTTTTATGGTATCTACTTCACCTTCCATTAGGATTTAACCAGAAGAGAACATTCTTAATAGAGATAGCATTGAGATATATGGCCAGTGGGAGAGTTGGGAACTTATGCATGAGTTTTTTTTTTTTTTTTTTCTTTTGGTAGTGAGAACTGAACTAAGGGGTGCTCTACCACTGAGCTACATGCCCAGCCCTATTTATTTTTTATTTTGAGACAGGGTCTTGCTAAGTTGCTGAGGCTGGACTTGAACTTGTGGTCTTCCTGCATTAGTCTCTAAAATCATTGGGATTACAAATGTGTGCCACCCTGCGGATGCTGGGCAGCATGAGTTCTTTGAGTGTGAGATCAAGGTGACAGAGCTGGGCAAATGTGACTATTGATTTTCAAATCCCCCTTCCACATAGCTGTGGAGAGAATTGTGTCATTACTGTTAGAAAACCCAGCCAAAGTGTTCCCTTGGAGACGGAAACACAAAATAAGTTTTTAAGAAACATTTTTTGGGGGGAGGTGTCAAAAGAATGTTAACAAGATAGTTGATTAAGTTATACAACAAAGTTAAAAATAAATACTTACGACCAGTTGAAATATTTAAAAAGATGCCAACAGAAAATATGGAGCTCTCAGAAGGGAACCAGGGAATGGGGCAGGAAAGACACAATGAAAGGATGGCATGGGAATCAAATTGAGGAAACGGGACTTTTAACCAATGTTTATTAGAAAAACAACAATCATTGATTAAAACAAACAGATTGTGGTTCTAGGAAAGAGGAAACAGAATGGTCAGCTTAGGAAAGGCTGTGTAATTTGGATAACTGGGTTTTATCCATAGTATCCCTCATTTACTCTGCAGTTAAGATCATTGTTTTCAGTTACTTTCATCAAGTAAATAATAAATTTATTGGACACATGCTGTACACCAAGCTCTGTGTTAAGTGTTGGGGATAAAACACCTATGTATCTTTATAGAGACATAAAATGTGGTCCCAGTTTTACATAAATGCTTAGGCTATCGTCAAAGCAATAAGGCATAATTACAGCTAAAATTCATTCAGTACTTATTACGTATTGAACACTTTCTAAGCACCATAATCCCTTAAGACAGCAGACATATGTTTTGGTCACATTTGTATCTCTGTTGCTTAGGACATAGAGATTCAATAAATATATTTAAAGAATCCTTGTTGAGAGCCACAGCCGAGTTGGGATGGCACCTAGCATTTTGCCAGAAGGAGTGGTTGAGAGGTGACACCAGGGAGCCATTAAGATGTTGATAATTGTAAGCTTTCTGTCGAAGGAACCGCTGAGCTAGAGCCAGTCCGCAGAGGTGAAGGTGGGAGTTCATAACCCACTTGAATCAAAGTGTGGAATATGATATGTCAAGAAATTTGTAATGTTTTGAACAACCCACAATAAAAAATTAAAAAAAAAAAGATGTTGATAATTAAGTTAAGCTGTGTATAACTGCTGTGACTGGATGATGCTGGATTGAAACAGGCTGTGTATTCAGTTGTATATAGACCCCTGCTGTCCGGCAATAGGGTGGCTCCTGCTGCCTTGGGCGCCCACCTGCTACTTTGGAGTTCTCGAAGAGTTCCCCGTTGAGTGGAGCCCGGTGGAGGGTGAGAGAGTTCCCGGGGAGTGTGCGTGGAGTGCTGGTGGAGTTGGGGCAATAAAGGAGTTCCTGTTTGAACCTACAAGTGCCTCGTGGTGGCTCGGTTATTTTGTGCCCAGCCAGACTGCGGCAAATCCTTACAACTCTGAGTGGGTACAATTGCTCACCTTATTTCACAGATGAGGAGACTGGGGTCCAAAGAGGTGAAGCTCTTGCTCATCTTCAAAGTTAGGAAGTGATGGGATAATGAACCCAGGAAGTCCTGTAAAGTACGGCACAATTCTAACTCTTGATAAGTATTGGAGTAACCAAAATGAAAGGTGGGAAGTGTGTTTTCTAAAAAACTTCTACGGAAGAGAGGAGAGGGAAGAGGAGGCTCACTGAAGGGGATAGCATTTTGATTGGGTCTTAAAATGTGGGTGAGATTTCCACAGATGGGTGCAAGGGACTGTGTCTTCACGATGGAGGGACATCATGAGCTGGCACTCAGAATTGGAAAAATGAAAGGTGTATTTGGAGAGTTTTGCAACTGCAGTTTGCTGGGTTGGGTTGGAAGCTGTGAGGAGCAGGGCTTCTCACACTGTCAGGTGCACAGGAGTACCAGGGGCTCTTGCTAAACTGCCCTTTCTGATTCAGCAGATTCTCTAGGCAGCCCCTGGTGAGGCCAAGGCTGCTGATCTTGGACCACACCATGAGTAGTTGGCTCTAGCAGGCCTTGCTTTCCTGGCTCAGAGGAATGGATTTTCCTTGGTTAGCCCAGAACTTCATGGATGGATTTTAAGCAGGGAAATAAGACTTCAAAGGCAGGTTGGTAGTAGTAGAGTAAGATGCTCTGCAGCAAACCCGGGCTTTGGTTCCTTAAGCTGCTAACTTGTAACCCTCAAAATTCAGAATCTCAATTGAGTCAGGGTCCAGGCAGGGAAACAGAAACCCCAGAGAAAATTAACAGATGATTTAGCCCTGGACCTCCGAATATCACTTTCTCACCAGACCTGCCTAAAAATTCTTCTTTCCTTTCTCTAGGACTGCCTGGAGCAACATCTGTTCTTATCCTCTAGTGGTTAGAAGAGGAGCTAAAATGTGGGCTTGACCTTGCACTAATCTTGTAGGCTCGCCCAGGCTGGGCCCTGTCACCCAGCATACTCAGAGCTACTCACGGAATGAAAAATGCTGCTAATATCAGTCTGCTAAAAACATCATCAGGAAATTAAATCTGTGGCTTTAAAAAAAATCCCACACTGATTTTCTGGCACTGGTGTGTCTCCCAACTGGGATCTCTCCTTCTGCCTGGGGGCCTCCTTCCAGCCTCCTCCCTCCTCTCTGGGCTCTCCCCTCTGCAGCCTCCCTGCCTCTCCTCCCTCCTTTCCTTAGTACCCTGCAGGGCCTGCTGGCTTTCTTCTCCCTGGGCTCCTCCCTGTGGCTTTAGGCTTCCCTTCCTGTCTCCAGGCTTCCAGCTTTTCCACAGCTCCACGGAAGCATCTGTCTGTCTCTATTTCACTTCCCATCAGGGAATCCTAAATGCTGAATAGGCCCTTCAGACTAGGCCCTGAAGGGGACTTGGCTAGGGGAGTGGGGGTGGGGGCGCTGGGGACCTGGCAAGGCCATACAGAAGCCCATTGATAGGCAGCCCCTCAACACACACAACCCAGTCCAGCCTCCATGGCTCCGGGTGGAGAGAGGCGTCCCTTGAGGCTGTGGCCAACATCCTGGCCACCATGAATGACCTCAGTGTCTCTGGCTGCATGGGGGACGTTCGCCCTGTGGCCTCCAAATCCTTCAAGCCCATCGGCCTCACCATCGGTGTGAATATATTCGTCTTGAAAATAATGGTCGGGACATCTCCATCAGTGGTGCTGATTTCATTAATTGGAAGAATTAGCTCTTTGTGGCCAATGGTGGAATACGGAGCCAAGACACACGGAACACTTTTCCCCAGTGACCCAGAGACCCTTGGACGAACTCCTGGGTGCCATGAAAATGGATCGTTTTGCAGAAAGAATACCGTTGGATGTTTATTTAACATCACTCCTCATCCCCCCCCCCCCCCCCAAAAGGCCTTCAGATCATGCTCACATCTGGCTGCTTTTCTTCCCTCACTTTTACATACAAAGCCAGGCAGGGCAGGGAGGAAAACGTCATCAGGCTGAAAACATTCAACAGCAAAGTGTAAATTAAATGTGTGGAGAGGCTAGGGGAGGAGGAGCCTTGGGTGGGGGTGGGGTGGGGTGGGCAGAGAAGTAGGGACACTATCTTCACCCCATTGTGTATGGGCAGAGCTAGTTCTGCATCCTACATCTGCCATTAGGATCTCTGTGACCTTGGGTAGATATCGAACACTTGGAGCCTCAGTTTCTTCACTGTTGTGTTGGGAAATACACATTCAGGGGCTGGTGGAGGATTAAAGGGGATGATGTACATAGAGCTTATGGCACTGCTGGACTACTGATGGCCACTGTTATTGTTGTTGCTGGATCAAAACCAGATCAGAATCTCAACTGTTCCCATACCTTAGAGACTTACCATTACTAGCCTCATTTAGGGAGACAGATGGGCAAAAATATGTCCAATGGAGGGAGACAGATGGACAAGAAATGATGATCAAGGGATTGGATGGAATGACAACCCAATGGGGCAATGGGCAGATGGAGCATCTCATGGGGAAAGCGGATTTATGACAACAGAGCCTGTGGGTCCTGTGGGAGGGACAGATGGATGAGGTTCCAACAGGCAAGATAGAGAGATGACAGGCCAAAGTGGAAGACAGATGGACAGCAATTTCGTAGTGGGGTGGGAGAATGGGACTGGGCAACCCTATGATGGGGGAGAACAGATGGACAGCACGTTGATACTGGAGCTTGGGCTTCCTGTTTAGTCTCTATTCCTCAGGCCTGGACATCCCTGAATGCGTAAGAACCCCAGGGGCTCTGTGGTTATGAGAGAGAGAGAGAGAGAGAGAGAGAGAGAGAGAGAGAGAGAGAGAGAGAGGTATCACGATTCTGATTCGTGGCCTGAGAGACACTAGGCACCAGGATCAGACTGGCCTCTGTTCCTCCCCACTCCCATGGCCCCTCCCTGGGTGGCCCTGCAGATAAAGGCTCAGCCTTGATGAAGAGAAAGAGGAAGAGGAGGAGGAGAAGGAGGAGGAGAGAGAAAGCTGTTATTTGAAAGAAAGGGGGGAAAAACTGGCTAAAAGTTTTATTTATTTAAAATAAAGGTTCAGTTATGCTTGACTGTAAACACACAGCCCATCCCTCCCTCCTTGGCTCTTCTTGTGGCAGAGGGCTCGGACCACACAGCAAGTTGGGGGCCGGAGGCAGAGAGAAGGCCAGTGTGGGCTGTAGGGAGGGGTAGGACTAGGCTGTCCCAGGTGTGGGGAGGGGAGAGTGGCCTGGAACTCACTGACCTGCTGTGCACAGCTGGGCTGGGCTGGTGCTCAACCGCTGGTCCCTGGCTCCCAGCCCTTCAGCACACAAACCCGCAATAGACCATGCAGCTCCAACTCCACATGCAGCACACACATGCCCGCAGCCCAGAGATGGCACAGGCAGGGGAACAGATGCTCACGGGCATGCAGGCCTGCCTCTCAGCTCTGTCTCTGTTTATCTCTTTGGCAGATAGCACAGTAGGGTCCTAGAGGAGCTGGGCAAAGCTCCAGCTGTGAGTCACCTCTTCTATTTGAAGTAGAAATCTTTACCTGCCTCTTTCAGGTTCCACCTGACTTCCTTCATGTATTTCGGTGACTGAACCATTTGGGTGGCCAGTAAGATCCTCAAAGCTCCCTGGAGAAGGGAGATGGTGTGGATGGAGAAGAAATTGGAGCGTAGATAGTTGGAGGACCCTGCCTTGCAAATCCTTTGTGAAAAACGTAGCTCTGTGCTGCGTTGGTGGCCCAGCTAGCCAGGGAAGGGCTGTGGTATGCAGGGTCAGGAGGGAATAGGCAGGAAATGATTGTGATAAGAGGCTTCCCTCTGGCCTACTCCCCTTGTTTCCAGACTGGGCTTCAGGATAAGGGCCAGGAGCTGGGCCTGGACATCAGGGACCTTCTGAGGAGGCTGCTGCCAGGTCAGCCTTTGGGACTGCAGCAGGAAGGGCTGCAATTGCAGGGGCCCCTGGGACCTGATGGGCAATGCCTGGGAATAGAAATGGCCCTGGGAGCCCAGCCAGGGCTACCTTCCTTTGTAGGGTAACTTTGGGTTCAGGAATTTCAATCAGACTTCATAAAGCAAAATCAATTTCTTAAAAAAAAATACCCCTCCCCTCAACTTGTGAATCCACATTGCTAAGAGGGTAGAGCAGGTTACAACTACAGCCTGGCCCCAGGGAATTTTGTGCTTTGGATGGATCCCAGTCGGAGTACAAATGGAAAAGGGAGTAATGTACACGAAGACCAAGTGGACACCCTGAGAAAGAAGGGATCAAACCCCAAAGGGTCAGCTGCCGGAGGAGATCAACTGAGTCCTCAGGAATGTGTGTCTTGCAGTCATTTGCAAAGCCTGGTGCTCCTTGGGCTCCGGCTGTCTCCTCTTTGCTCAAGGCCCAGTGACTCCACCATCTGTGGTTGACTTGGATAGCTCACAAAAGAACTGGAAGTGCTGCAGAGGAAAACCCCATGGGCGGTGAGGTCTCGGGGCCCCTCACTATTGTACCAGGGCCCCTTCTGAAGGATTAGCAGCTTCTATTTGTCCCTGGGGGCTGCACTGTAAATGCCTGTGTAATGCTAATTTGTGGTTGGCAGGAGATTGATTGGGAAGGAGCTGAATAATGGCAAGACAAGGCTGAGCTCTCTCCTACTTCTGGAGTGGTTGGTGTGTGTGTGTGTGTGTGTGTGTGTGTGTATGAGTGGGAGTGTGTCTTCTTGGAAGAAAGTAGCAATAAGACCCCAGAAAGGATGATTATAAGAGAAGATGAAGTCCGGATGGGAAGATTTTTGAAAGAGGCAAGAGTAGAGAGATGGTGGTGCTGGACGCCAGGAGTTTTTGACCCAATGATGATGGAAAAGAAATGGAGTCAGGTGAGTAAACAGGTAGGCAAGGCTTTTTTTTTTTTATGACAGTGGAATGCATTACAAATCTTATTACACATATAGAGCACAATTTTTCATATCTCTGGTTGTGGAAGAGACACCACTCCTGCAAGAAGATGTCAGGCTGGCTCTCTCAATGGAAGAAGGGAGCTTATTTTTATTGGTCGCTTGCAGAGGTGGCAATGCCAGTTGGCACTTCACAAAAGCACTTTGCCCTGTCTATGCTGAAAATAAGTTACTGCAGCTGTTCAAAAGGACAGCTAAAGGCACCCTGACCTCAGCAAAGCGAAGCCGACACTGGTTGAGGGTGGCACACACCAAGCCTCCTGGCATCTTCCTATTGAGCCAAGGCTTGGAAGTGCATGTGCTCTTTGTCACACAGTGGTCCCCGTCTCAGTCTATGGAGTCTGGGATCACAAATTTGGAGAGTTTTTTTCTTTTTCTTTTTCCTGACAGGAGTAACATGCTACTTACTGTTTTTACCATATTCTATTCATCAGATCCAAGTCCTAGGTCCAGCCCACACATAAGGGGAAGGGATTCTACTTGGGAGGTAAGAATCATTGAGAGCTGTATCAGAAGCTGCCTATGACATGAAGAAAGATTCCAGCAAAAGTGCCTGGTACATACTAAGCGCTCAAGAAAAAGATATTTTTGTTATTTGGACAATGACTTGTCTAGGATGTGTGCTAGGTTTTCCCAACATGGCCTGGGTGGTCTCTGATGTCCCAGCTTCAATTCTATGGGTATTGCTGGTTTTTCTGGGAAGGTGTTTCCCTCTGGCACCCTGAGGTTTGTGACCAGCTCTCTGGGCGCAGGCTTGCAGATAGAGGGTCGATGCTAACTCACACTCACACAATCTTCCTCAAGTCCTCTTCACAAACGTGTGGTCTTGCATCGTGGTCAGTGTACAGATATTTTAATTTCCTGCTCACCTGCTCTGTGGAGGATCTGATTTCTTCTTGCTTTTATTTTTCTCTCCAGCAGTCTGTGGACAGCTACTTCTGTCTGACCATCTGGTAGCCATTCACCTTTATGGCGGCTTGAGAAAGGAATTAATTTCACTTGTTTCTTTAGCAATATCTGCCTCTTTTGACAGCAAGTTACCTTTATCACCTCTTAAAACTCTTACTATGTTGGTCCTTCTGGTCCCTTGGGGACTCTTTAGATCCCCTAACTTGGTGCAACTGCATCTCCTCTGGCTCAGTGTTCCCTTTCTCTTTGCTCTACCCTTTAAACATCCTACATACTTCTGAGTCTGCCGTTGCCTTCCCCATCCGCTGTCTGTGGAGAGTGATGGATTTGGCCCCCGTAGACCAACTGGAGTGTAATCAGAAAACAATCAACTGAAAGAGAAAATGTGACCCCTGCCCTGATCCTGCCCTTCTGAGGACTTCTTGAAGCCTTCAGTTTAATTCTGGTGGGTAATTTGGGGAGGGGCAGGGTATGGGAAGCTAGAGAAAATTCCTGGGTAAGAATGAGGTGCGTGGGAGC